CCAGGATCGCCCGCCGTACCGCCGCGACGCCAGCTCCGCCCTCCTCGCTATCTAGGTTTGTGTGATGGAATGGACTTATGAAGGCCATGCCCAGGAAGATAAGTGTGTTCTTAGCCCCCAACAGGAGCGTGGGAAGTTCAAGAAGATGAGGCTGGCACCTCCCTAAGGAATTCACGGTGTTGTGGCTGGCTGGCTTGGGAACTTGGGTTGAGTCTGGTGAGATTCTGTCTTGAGCTGGAAACTAATAAATGCAACAGAACTGTATTTGCATTGTCTCTTGGAGTTCTTCAATCAAGCCTACGTGTGATTGCAAAGATTCTGACAGTTATGGAGTTTACCTGATCTACCCATTCTGGGCACATATATAAGCAAATTCTAAGAGAGAGGTTGAGTCTAAAGTTCCTGGAGAAAGGATATTGGAGACCAAGGAATTTCAGATGAAGTGCCTAGTCAAGGACATTGATAAATCTTTCCAATGATGTTGGCTATGCTAGAGTTCCTGTGTTTTGCACTCTCCACAGAAAGTCAACTTATTTAATAAAATGAAATAAACCAGGACCCAAATCTTTACCTCTGATAAGCTCTACCAGGCACCCAGGTTTGGTATAACAGGAAAAGCAGGATTCATATGAATATGAATGGAGATCTTTTTGTTTTCAGGGCAGCCATTTGACCCATCACTACCAATCATGAAATCAGTCTGCAATGTGATCTGTGCTGCAGCTTTTGGACATCTCTTTTCTGTGGAAGACAAGGATTTCCTGCAGTTGATGAAAGCCATTCAGATGGCCTTAGAATTCCTAGGCACCTTCTATTATCTAGTAAGTAGCAATATTCTTGTTTTTCGTCCTCCATCTTATTTTTCTGATCTGTGTCATTCTATTCAGGACTTTCCAGAGCAATGGATCTATGGTAATTAATACCATAGTTCATGCCTGGATCGCCCCGAGTCCTACCTCTCATGGACAAAAGATCAAGAATGTTTGCTGGCCATCTGGTATAGTTTGGCCCCTTAGCTTGATATAGTAATTCCTAGAAGGTGGTTGATGGCCCAGGTGGAAACACCTCCTTTGTTGTAACTGGATTTGTTCTCCTCTGTCTCTTTTGTAGTTCTATGAAGGTTTCCCATGTATCATGAAACATTTGCCAGGTCCTCACCAGGCTGTCATATCTGCTGGGAATTCGATCATTTCTTTTGCAAAGAAGGAGATTAAACAGCATAAGGAGAACCAGAACCTGCATGAACCACAGGACTTCATTGATTTCTATTTATTTCAAATGGATAAAGTAAGCATTTGCATTGTAGGGGAATACTGCTTGATCAAGAATCAGTGCATAACTCCCATTTATTACTGAGCATTCTTCTATAGAATCATTCATAAGATTCCCAGGGTGAGCTATAATAAAAAATGGTAAATTGATACATACTATACATATAAAGATAAGAATAAAGTTGTTACAAAAAGCATTTGATAATGTTCCTTAGTAAAGGGTTTTGAGTAAATTGATGATGATGATGATGATGATGAACCATTACTGCATTCCCTAAAAAATAAACCCCAGACAAGGGTAAACACTAAGCAAAATTAGCAAGTTGAGTGAAAGCAGCTACTAGATATTTAACTGACATTAAGAACACATTATTTCACACGCTAGATGGGGTTGGGAAGTTTGTGGTGGTCCATGAAATCCACTGATTGTTTTCAAATGAAATATGAATAAGACCATCCTATTAAGCCATAATATAGAATATTCAGGGGAGGTGGGCAGTGGAATATAACATATTGTGTGAACAGAGGTATTCTGTTTCATTAGCTGGGGTATAGGATTTATTGCATTTTATGAACCTAGCCAGTAGGGATGGAACTGCATGTTTATGAAATTCGCTTCCACTTGTGATGGATAGGCTGGTTCTCCAATACAAAGCTAAGTTAGATATCTCCTTTCACCCTGCAAGATTACATTATCCACATAGAACACTGAAATGGGTAGAAACGTTCTTCCTCTAATGATCATCCTACCAGAGCCATTTTGTATAGCATTCTCAATTCAGAGATTAACTAAGGTGTCCCAACTGCTTCTAATGCTTCCTTCTACTGATGTCTTCAATTTAGAACTAATCCGAATTTTACGTTCATCCTCCTCAATACCACCCTGATGGTTTGGGCAATAGCGCCATTGTCCCCAGACAAGATGGCCATGGAGGAGAACAGGGAGATATTTAAGTTGGCAAGTACTGGCAACAGTAGGAAAATGCCATTTCAGCTTTATTACTGTTAATTCTAGAGCAAGGATGATCCCAATTCTACCTATGATGAAGACAACTTGGCTCATTGTATTGTTGACCTCTTTGTTGCTGGGACAGACACAACCTCAGCTTCTCTCCAATGGGCATTGCTTCTCATGGCCAATCATCTGGAGATCCAAGGTGAGGCAGAGTGATGCAGTGGTGACAATAAGAACAAAAGAGCTCATTCCAGGGATTATGTTTTGTTTATTTATTACAGTGTTCCTATTTAAATTAATGCTATGGAGGAGAAAGCATTACCTTTAATTCAACTTTCATACAATACAAGGACTACAAAAACCACTTTGTAGGACCAACAGATAGAAAATGTCAGAACACATCCATAAATATGACTCGGCTGTCAAAAGACATGAGGAAGATTTCTTAATTTCATAGCACATAGACAAGTGCAACCCCAGTTAAGGTTGGGAAACTGGATACAGGTTAGACCAAACCAGCTCTAAGAATGCAAGAGATTTCCTCAAAGCCTGGCACTCTGACTAATTAGCCATCAACAGATTTATAGAAATAAATTCCATGGATGGAACAATGAAAGTGAACAAGTCAAAGAAAGCCAATCAGCCATGAGCACATCCTTCTCACAACTTCTCCTATTCTTCTCACATAGATTTAGCATTTAATTTTAGGGATCTGGAAAGAAGAATTAGAAATAAGATCTAAGTTAGAAATCAATATAGATCTGTTAGTATACAGTAGTACTTATCAAGTTCAGACTTGACTTTGTGTAATAAAATTCTCCCTTACTCTGGAGGGAGATAATATTAAACACATCTGGAATCCAAGACTTGATGTGTCTCTGAGTCTGGGATCAATCCAATTGTCACCAGAGTAAACAAATTTACCAGTATAAGTATATGGGTTGTGGCATGTGGGGAGGCCTGTCTTGGCTCCCGTGCTTTGAAACATTCTACATCGCCCCCCCATCCCTCCTTCATTTTGCAAGGAAGTTCCTCATTATTCAGCATCCCATTGGTCTTGTAGATTGTGGGCATCCATTGTAGACAGGAGGTCCTTACTATAACCTCTTCTTTTTAGATTATTTTCTCTGTTTGATTTCTTTGTTGTACACTGCCAGAATTTTCACTGATTAGGGTCATCTACTAAATCAGTAAATAAATAAATAATTACATAATTACATAAGCAAGCAAGTTTCCCTTGATGCCAGGATTTTACTCTCCAGGTCACTTACTATTCAGGGCTGTTTTGCTTTTAATGGCGATCATATGAAACCCTTTGATATGCAGAATAATAGCTCTTGGTTTACCTTTTTCTTTTGGAAGAGAAATTGAAGGGACTGAAATTAAACCCCTTTTTTTACTCTTTTTCTCAGATAAAGTCTACATGGAGCTGGAAGAAGTCTTTGGTTCATCTCACTCAATCTGTTATGAAGATCGGAAGAGAATGCCATACACCAACGCTGTCATTCATGAAATCATGCGAAGTAAATATGTGCTATTTCATGGACTTCCAAGAAAATGTGTGAAGGATGTCTATCTGAATGGTTTTCTCATTTCCAAGGTACAGAATATGGATCTTTCTGGGTTCCTGGGGTTTAAACTTACTGCAAAGTTTAAGGGCTCCACCCTCATGTAGGAAATGTGACTTAGCTCCGTCCATCCATCCATCCATCCATCCATCCATCCATCCATCCATCCATCCATCCATCCATCCATCCATCCATCTATCTATCTATCTATCTATCTATCTATCTATCTAT